AAGTCTTCCAACGTAGTTTCTCTTTTTCATTGTTGCTCTTCTAGGTTCTTTTCATTTTTATATAAAATTTAGCATCCGCTTGTCAATTTCCACAACAAAGCTGCCTGGGATTTTCTCCAGTATAGAGGGTTAAAGGATGGCCCACCCAAATACATGTCCATGTCCTAATCCCTAAAGCTGTGAATGTTACCTTATTTGGAATAAAGGGTCTTTGCAGACGCATTTAAGTTAAGGACCTTGAGATGGGGAGATCATCTCGAGTTATTCAGGTGTGTCCTAAATCCAATGACAAGTGTCCTTATAAGTTAAACACACAGAGGAGGAAGCGACTTAAAAATGAAGGCAGAGTTTGGAGTGATGTGGCCAGAAGCCAAGGAAGCCAAAGAAGCCAAAGAATGAATGCCCCCAGCCACCAAAAGCTGGAAGAGGAAGGGAGGATTTTCCAACAGAGCCACTAGAGGGAGTGAAGCCCCACTAATGTGGAGCTTTCGGGCGCCTGGCCTCCAGGATCTTGAGAGAGGAGCTATCTTGTGTTAGCCACACGGTTATGGTAATTTATTGTAGCAACCATAGGAAACAGAAACGCCCATTATCAGGTTGAGGAAGTTTCACTTTTCCTAGTTTTTTATTTTTTCCAAGAACGGGTGTTGGATCTTTTCAGATGCCTTTTCTGCATCAATTGAAAAATATTTTCTCCACATATTTTGTTAATGTGGTCATAATCTGTATAGGCTCTGTGCTCACATGGTATTAATTTTTAGCTCGCTCCCATGGCCACTACCCCTAGTAACACCTGTTCGTGAAAGTGTCGGCTCCTGACACGTATCAAATGGTAAATATGTCAGCATGAATCTTCTTGCTTTATATGTGCTAAAGTCATTTTAAGAAGTCATCGAGAAGTCTGCAGAACAAAACTGTATCTCAAAATACAAGAGAAAAACAGCGATCAGGGAACGTATCCTGAGGGGTTCTCTATCATGGGTATCACACTGGTCACCCTTGGGCCCAGTTTGGCCTTGAGAGAGACTTCATTTGGCTTCTGTAGTGTTTCCAGGATTAGGAAATTTTATATTGAAATACTAGATAGCATGCCTTCCCGGAAAATTATACAGATTTGGCAACACTGCCCTGAATTCCAACATGGCAGCAGTTGGCCCGAGCTGCACAGCATCTGCTCCTTTCACAAGCAATGTTCTTTTCGCTTTACCATAATTTCATTCCTCATTGCTTTAAACCTCAGAGAGATTTGGGTTTGCAACTGCTGTTCTAGAACGTTTGCGGGGTACCTCATGACGCCAAGCATGTGCTACTGGGGGAAGGCTCAGGGAAAAGGAGAGCATCGCATCGCAGTTACCAAGTCAGCGTATTCATGGTTGTGGAGAACTTTGTGGAAATAATCTAAAGACGAAGAAGGGTTTTCACATAATTCATTATCAACCAGAGTGACAGACAGTCTGATCGGCTAACTTATGGGTAAAGAAGCACTAAAATATCAAAAATAAACCCCTAACCCACTCGAAGAAAAGAAAAAAGAAGTTCAACCTTATAATGTAAAATGTGAGAAGTGACGGTAAAGATACCGAAGATTCTGTTGAGGCCCTGGCCCGGGAACTCAGCTGGTTAGAGAGTCGTCCCTGTACGGCAAGGTTGTGGGTTCCATCCCTGGTCAGGGCACATACAAGTATTAACCAGTGAATGTATAAATAAGTGGAGCAACAGATCTCTGTCTCTTTCTCTCAAATCAATTTTAAAAATAGATTCTGTTGATAGGTGATGTGCCTACAAACCTCCACCCCACCTCCCAATTATACCCAATCTCTGCTGCAAGACATACTGAGGAAAAAGATGAACAGACCAAATCCTGAGAATTTTCACAAATGTCCTCCAGCTGGGAAAGAAGTCGGTCTGAAACTCCAAGGAACCTTTACGTACCACTGGATCTTGCCAGGAGCAGCAGAGTTTGCCTCCTCCTAGGGCACTGTGCAGACGTGTGCAAATGAGCTGAAGCTCAGAGGCGTGCCCTCATCCTGAAACCTTCAGGTCACAGAAAAAGTAGCAACGACACTCAGCCCCAAACTGAAGCTCAGGGCGGGGAAGACAGACACGCCTCAGGAGTTCACTTGCAGTATATTAGCTCAAATACAAGGTCTGATTTTAACTTGTAAATACAAGTAAAGGTACAATACACGACAAGCAAGATTGCTGTTGTGCAAACCTATCACATGGGAGGTGGGAGTGTAAAGCAAGGAAAATACCATGCAGAAAACAGACGAAGAACCAAGCGTGGAAGGAAACATAACCGAGGAACAGAAATGTATGTTCCTTCTATGTGGTTCACTCTGCAGAAAAAGAGAAAATAGAGCGGGGTCCTCAGAGTAGTGCAACGACAATATAAGAGGAAAGTGTGATGAAAAAGGACATTGCAGAGCTAAGAAAATTGAGATTCTAAACAATGTGACTTTAAAATCCAGTAACCTTGGAAAAAACAATGAACAGGATACGGAAAGGAGATGGATGCTGAAGAAAAAGACCAGGTATAAGGATAAATGGTGACTCTGAAGTAGAAAACCCAGCCAGTGAAAGACAAACTCATTCAGATATGATGTGAATAGGGCACTGGGGGAAGAATGGAACCCGTAGGTTGGAAGATGATGCTATATACTTG